AAAAGTGAATGCAAACTGAGGAATAGACAAATGAATTCTATCCTTATTTATATTAAAAAATGAAAAAATGTGAAATTATGGGATTCAAAGATCTTCATGATATCACTAATTATGGAAATATATGGTTGAACTATAATCCATAACGTGATTTTAATAAGTTTAAAGCTAATATCGTAGTTTGCAATTTTTATATTTTTCTAAATTTTCACGTAGAAATCAAATATTTATTATATCCAAAGAAATAAAAAAAAAGGAAGAAGAGATCGGTGACTTGCAATTTGAAGTTTGAAGTTTAAAATCTTGGTGGATTCTGGACAAATATAAAACCTCGAAAATGAGTTAAATTTCTTAATTTGAAATTCTATACATCTTAAATACAAAACCATCACAATCATACATATGATATTTTAAATATGAAAGAAAAAAAGGAATATAGAATATTTTATTAATTTTTCTGAAGAATTTTAGAAAATCAATCAAAAGATGATTGATATGAATATATAAGGATATAAATAATTTTTGCTCTATTTAATCCAACCTTCTTAATTGTTGATTGCGGGGTGGCACAGTAGATTTAACCACATATCTGGTGAAAACAATTTAAACAGGTGGATTTGAGGAGGGATAAAAGAATTCCTTGTATTTATAAAGGAGAAAGTTAGACCCTTTATAATACAAATAATTCAATGGATATCTGCAAAATATTGTTCAAGAATACTGTAAGAAAGTCAAATTATTATTTGCAGAATACGAACTTTGATATGAATTTGACAGAAGTTTGTCCTGTTATATAACAATATGTTGCTGGTCAAGATTAGATAAATTGAAAGTGAACGAATGGATTGTATAATTATAATTTGAAGATATTCAAAGAATGTTTAATCCCATAATTAAAAGGTTCTTAAGTTGGTATTTGATCAATTGAAATAAGGTAATACTACTGCCATATTTTTGGTGGAAGGTTTTAGTGAATCAAAATATTTACAAAAAAGAATTTTCTTGGACAAAGTTAGGAATATTTTTGTGCCTCATCAGCAAATTGCTGCTATTGTTAGTAGAGGTAATTATAAAAAAATAGTAAAACATTCGATTAGATTTTTACGTATCGCAATTTTTGTTTTATTGATGAGAATTTATTCCAAAACTTGAGTATGGTCTTAATATGCAGAAAATTTAAATCAAGAATGTTACCCTTGACTTATGATATCGAATTGTCACTACTTTGGTATGAAATATCTTTTAATTATTTAAATTTTTTGAAAAACAATTCGATTTAAACTTGCAATGAGATCAGGCGGAGGAAATAGAGAAAAAAGTTTTGCGTTAATCAGCTACCCAATATTTATCTTATATAGTTCAGGACAAAAATTTCAATCGCATAAGAAGAGGGAAGTGGAGAATTCCGTATAGGATGTATTTATCTGAGTAAATCATGTGACTAAATTTTTGTGATAAGAAAAACAATTCCCGTCACTGAAAATACCGTTAAGAGAAATTTTGTAGTTATGCTATCTGTAGCAAAAAGCAAAACATTGCTAAATTTAGCCTGTTTATATCAAAAAGCTTGTGATGCGGAAAATCAAGCAATAAAGATGGGTGCTTGAGGATCAATTTCATTTTTTAAATACATCCTTCGCTAACATTATATATTTCTGCTAGTTCTTTATTTTTTATAGAAGGTTCATTAGTTTTTCCAAGACATATTTCATGCTTTTGAGCAAGGGTCAAAGAAGCTCTTTTGGTAAAGTGTTATCTTGAATCATTTTATCCTTGCTTTTTGATAAAATTGCTTATACTTCGTGCATAGTGGCATGTACTAACAGAATCGGAGCTAAATTTATTATAATTCAAAATAAATCATGATTTTATTTATTGGTCGCAGTGATTAATTTATCATGTAACAATTTAAAAATTCGATATAGTGAAAAACCTTCGCTGTATCAAGGATCATATTATTATACTTGTTTCAATGCTTAAAGTCGAGTTATAAAAAAACTCGTTATAATAAGGGTATACTGTATCAAATATCCGAAAATTTCCCTGGAAGACCGTTGAAGGGATAACGAACTTTACATAATATTTTAATTTAGAGCTATAAAATGAACTCGTTCATAATAAGAAGGATTTTTCATGTGACTTAAAATATGCGCTGATTTTATTTTTCAGTTAGTTTTTTTATTAATATGAAAAATCAATTACGTAACCGATCACACAAAATGTTTATCGTTTCGTAATATTGCATCATTTGACTTAATAGCCTCCAGATTTTTCGTGTCTTTTATGTGCGTCAACGTTTTCAATATTCCTATTTCAAAAATTGAATTTTCTAATTTATATTAAACGAATGGCTGGAGAAGCTCGAGACATTAAATGTCAAATTTATGAAAAGGAAAGGAAAGATAGTAAATCCATGTTCGGAACATTGATCAAATGTGCGAAGAAATCAAATCGGGATGCAGCACAATCAAGGTTGAAAGTAGGGATGCTAATGGTTATGGTCATGACCGGTCATAACCGGTCATAACCGTGACCGATATCGGTCGGTCAAAGGC